CGGACACACTGTCTGGATCTCCAGCGGGAATGGCAGTGTCCTGCAGTCCTTTGCCTACGGGGCCTCTCGGGAGGAAGGTGGCACCGTCTGCACCATCTCCCTTCTCTCCAACAACCCTCTAGCAGAGGGAGAACTCGCCTGCCATGTGGGGGCCAACAGGACCTCCCCATCCCACAGCTCCAGCCCCATCCACATCACGGGTATGATTCTGCTGCCACCCCCTCTGCCTGTCCTGCCCACTGCTGCTCAGCCCAGTGGGTGCCCTGGTGGCCCCTGAGTAGGGGTTGGCAGGGTCTCAGGGCCTCACACCTGCTCCCTGCTGGCCTCAGTGGGCCAACGTTGCTGGCTCAGTTGGCAGGCACAGGAAGGGGTTTGTGGCCAAGCCCTGCTGCACACCTGGTGCTGTACTGCCACCACCTCGCCACCTGCTCTTTCATCCCACAGGCTATGAGGAAGCAGCAGAGCTGTGTCCTGGTAGCACAGCTGGTGAGTCTCCAGCCCCTGCCATGGTGGGAATGTCAATTATGAGGGAGGGAAACACCGCTGGGTTTCTGGCAGGGGCTGTGTGTCGGTTGGGATGGGTTTTCCCAGTGTCCTGGGGCTGGGGAAGAGGGAGGGAACCTCCACCTTGGTGGGGAGAATGGGGAAGGTGGGTCAGAGCCATCCTGCCCTCAGGCACATATGAAGGTCTCAGGTGTGGCCCCGTAGCAGCCTTAGAGGACAGAGAGGACGTGTGGCAAGCGTCACCTCATCCCTTCCATTACAGTGTCACCAGCCCATGCCTTGGCAGCCCTGCTCACGGCTGTGCGGGTGGTGCTGCTGAAGGTCATGCTCTCTGATGTCCTCCTCACCTCCATCCTTCTCGCCCGGAGCTGAGGGCCTGAGTGGATGCCCACCCCGAGGGGTAAGTCCCCCGTTTTGGCCTAGGGGCATGGAAGGCATCTGAAATATTCTAGAGACCGAAAATGGGACCCCCAAATGCAGGAGGGATGCGGGGCGCAGGGTGGGCACCTTATGTTGGGTGGACAATAGAGAGGGGCTTCCACGTTTCTGTGGGTGGTAGGGCCCAGGGATTACCTGGAGGGTTGGGAAGGGGGTCGCAAATTACCCAGCGGGAAGGACCCCAAGGTACGGTGCCTGGGCGGCAAGGGTGTGGGGAGGTTCCAGAACTATAGGGCAGGGCTGTGTGGG